CTTAAATCACTATGTTTAGGTGTGAAAAATCTGATAATAAAATGAAAATAATGAGAATCAAAAACTATTACAAGTTTTTTTTAAAAAACAGGGATTTATTTGTTTGAAACAAAGTGTAGGAACAAACAAGCAAACAAACAAACAAAAAAAACAATTCAAATATCAAATGAAAAAAAAGAAAGTGAACGAAAAAAAAAAGTTTCAAAAAGTTTATTTCACACAAACGCAGATACGCACACACACACACACACTTAAACAAACACAAATTAAAACGATAAGTGTACTTGATATTGATCATATACAACAAGTTTAACAACAACAAAAAAAACATTTATCATCATCATCATTATTGTTTTGAACATCATTCTTCAATAGGAGAATTTGATGATCAAAACATTTTCCATTTTTTTCCCAATTCTCATGATCAAGGATCGATTCTCAATAACAAATCAAATAAAGTGTTGTTGTTGTTTGGCTGTAGGAATATTTAGATTTACAGAAAACAGAAAAAAAAATTTGGTATTTCTCTATATAACAACAACAACAACAACAACAAACCTTATGTCAATAGATAAGCAAAATACGGTTTTTTTTACTGGAATACAATCTGTTTCAAACAACGACAATATATAAAAAAAATGATGTTCAAAGTTTCTTTTTTTTCTCCAATGAATATCGAAATGAAAACAATTGATCATCTTTTGTTAATAATCAAACAAACAAACAAAAAAAACTAAACTAAACTAAAATGTTTCATAAAACAATATTTTGTGTTTCTTGTTGTTGTTGTTGGAACAAAACATCAGAAGAAGAAGAAGAAAAGGAAAAAAACATTGGCCACACTCTTTTCACCATGTGTGTAACTGTTTCAGGATCCAATAATATAACAATAATAATGACAAGCTCCTCCTTATTTGGTACATGAGAACCGCCTTCTTTTTTTATTCATTGTTATAAAAAATTTTTGTTTGTACTTTTATTTTCTATTTTTGTTTTCAATGAAAAATCATTTCAAGGAATAAAAATTGTTCATTGCATTTTGTGAAAGAAAAAAAAATGATCAGAGAAAGCGAATTAAGGAAAAAAAAATAGAATGGATAAACCCGTATCATAGAAGAATAAAGAAATAGAGCAGGAGAAAGAGAGAAAATTTACCGACAAATTATCGATAATCGGCTTTAAGATTTAATCCACAAAATCAGTAACTGAATAATCTTAACACTTGGTATTTTTTTTTGTGAAAAAAGTCGAAAAATGGAAAAAAAGATCGTTGATCATGATAATAACCAATAATTTCGATGATGATGATAATAATCGTTAATAAGCTTTGATAATCTGAAAATTGGCCCAATTATTTTTGGATATGTTCGTTTTTCCTAGTGTTCAAGCTCAAATTTCAAAACAAATGAAAATGAAAATATTTTCACATGAAAATTCATCACTATTATCCATGAATTTTTTCTATATAATCAACTAAAGAAAAGAAAACTGAATATAATAAAAAAAATGTGATAATGATCAAATGAAACAAAAATCAAATGAAGCAGAAAAATTAAACGTAAATTGACAATATATTATTGTTTGTAATAATTATTTTGCGAGAAAAAAAAACATCAAAAATTGGCCAAAAGTTTAACATCTCATCAAGTAGATTGGATGGATGAATGAATTTGATGAAAGGAATTCAATTGAAATGAAATTCATATGTTACAAATTATATAGTGAAAGAGAGAGAGAGAGAGAGAAATAATTGATGAAAGTAATTTGTTGAAAATGAATAGAAACGAAGAGAATTTTTCTTTTTCTTCTTTTTTTTTCTCCAAAGAAAACAGGAATGAACAAATATAAAGAACCTGAAAAAAAAAGAAAAAACAAAACACAAATATATAAACCACCGCTTGTCTTTTATCACCACAGAGTTACAATATATCCATATGAACACCCAAACACACACACACAGTAACTAACTTGATTGAATTGAAATTTTCCAAATTACAACATTGTGGATAGAGAGGAGAAAAAAAAGAAATTCAACAAAAATGAATAAAAAGAAAAGAAAATTGAATAGATTGAATAAAATGTTGAAATGAAAAAAAAAATGTTCCTGAAACATGGATTGAAGAAAAAAACTTTCTTTTCTTTTCTGTTCCATTTTTGAACAAAATTTTTTTCATTTTATTCTATAGTTGTCGGTAATTTTTTGTTTTCTTCAAAAAAAATAAATGAATGAATGAATGGAAGTAATCGTGTCCGAGAACAATCAAAAACAACAACAACAACAACAAATGAGCCGCTTATCAACATTAGTTAAACCAAACCTTTTTTTCTTCTTTTTTTTCAGAATATTTGATGATGATGATAATTCATTGCCAATCATAATAATCAAAAAAAAAAAAAAACACACATAAGGTACACCGATTGTTGTTGTTTTTGGGGTTTTTTATTTCAATTTCTTTTTCTACTTCTTCTTCTTTCAAATACCGTCTTTTCAAGGAACTTGGANTTTTTTTTCAGAATATTTGATGATGATGATAATTCATTGCCAATCAAAATAATAAAAAAAAAAAAAAACACACATAAGGTACACCGATTGTTGTTGTTTTTGTGGTTTTTTATTTCAATTTCTTTTTCTACTTCTTCTTCTTTCAAATACCGTCTTTTCAAGGAACTTGGAACACACAACAGCAACAAAAAAAAACCGTTCGACCAACTTCTTTTCATTCTCTTTCTTCTATCATTTGAATTATGTTTGTATACGTTTGATTAGCTCAAATTTAAATCTAATTTTTTTTGTTGTTGTTGCTCCTGCATTCAAATTTCATTGTCTATATGTTTATCTACATTTGAATTTAAATTGAATAAAGGTGATTTACCAGAAAAAAATAAACAAATTCAATTTGTCAAATTTTTCATGATCATTTATTAGGTGACATTTTTTTCTCTCTCTCTCTATTTGTTTATTACAGTAAAATAATCATTAGTAAAATCATTGATTATAAGTAAAATAATAATGAACATTGATAATCCAACAAACAAAATACAAGTCGATTCAATTTTTAGGAATAAACCGATATCAATCTGTAATCGGAAAGAAATTAATTTGCTTTACTAATAATGATTTCATTTGTGTTGTCAATGTTTGTCAATAATAATGTTTCATCATTGGAACATAAGGTTTCGTTTTGTTTTGAATGTCAAAAGAGAAAAAAAAAATCTTTCTTTCAATTCAATTCAATAGATCAATACACTAACACACACAGAAATAGAAAGACAAACAAAAAATATTGTGGATGTGATTTTTTTCCACATCAAAAAAAAATGGAAAGGAAGAATATAAAAAAGGAAATATCAAGATATTAATAAAATCATCACTAATCACATACAGGACATACATAATTTTGAACAACAAAAAGCTATTCCATTCAACTACAATATTAACAAAAAAAAGCCAAAATAAGAATTCTGATCATCATCATTCAATTTTTTTTTGTTGAATTTGATCAGAAATAATTGAATTTATTGAATCTATCATAGAAAAAATATTTCTATATTTATTCTTTGATTCTTCACTGTTCACTATGAATGTGGAAGTAAGTTAGGTATAGAAAAAATAGAATTTGCATCCATCCAGAATATCAAATCTTCCATTATAAACCCACACACACACGGTGATAAAAAGGCAATTTTTTTTGAAAAAATGGATAAGTTTATAAATGTTTAATATTAAAAAAAAATTATAGTTTGTTTTTTGTTTTTTGTTGTTGTTGATAAATTACAAAAAAAAACAAAATATGAAAAATTTCATAAAAGCCATAGGCATTATTCGTTTTATATATTCTTATATGTTTTGTACGGAAAAGAATATTCTATACAGTTAAAATAATATAGATGTATACAATATGAATGATGATGATCTATAGATAAATCTCTTGAGAATCGTATATATTCTTTTCTATTTCTATTTTTCTTTTTGTTTGATAAAATACACAGAAATCAGCATAAGCATCAATGGTTATGTCTGTTGTTGTATCATCATCATCATCATCATCATAATCATCATGTATCTCATTTTGGAATCCATTTGGGAGTGTGTTGTTTGTACAACAAAGAAAAAAAAAGGGAAAGAGAGAACAAGAGAGATTTTGATTTTCTTTTTCTCTTGTTATATATTCTAAACTATTGATGTTATTGAATATTGTGCTAAAGATTGTATACATTATACAATATGAATTCAATGTTGAAAAATATGGTTGGTAGTTAAAATACCATTCAATAAGAGTGGTTAAGTAAATATTTGAACGATGTTTTTGCTCCCTTTCACTATCATTTTCATTACATCGCTCGTTTTCTCTCTCTCTCTCTCTTTTGCTCTCGTTTGTTCGTTTACTATTTTATGATTTTGTTATCATCGACGATTCTCTTGTGTCTCATTCGATTTGATAATGTATGAATTTCTTTAGTAATGTAGAATATGTTATTGAAAATATTTGATAGGATATATCTATACGTTTATGTTTTCATACATTGAAACATCCATTTTGACAAAATGTATGGTTCATTTTGGTGCGTTTATGTGTGGTTTATGTCAACAGAAATCAACATTCAATAGGATTTTTTTTTCTCTATCAAACAAAACAAAAAATCGAAGAATTGAAATGAAGAAATGATTATGATGTTCGAGAAAAACGTAGCGAATGAATCGAATGAGAAATCTAACCAATGCAGAAAATTAAAAAAAAAAATATTGTGCTAATAAAATGAATTTAATAGAATGCTATATTGAGGGAAGAGAAAAAAATGTGAAAAAAAAGAACGTTCATGATGAAATGAATGGCAAAACTTTGTGTCGAAAATTACATTTGGTGTTTCTTAAATGTTTTCAATAATGTCCCAAATTATACAATGTATTTGAACATCTAATGATTACAAAAAAATCATTTTTGTTGTTGAAAATAAAATTAGGCTTACATTTGATATTTTCAAACATGTAAAAGATGAAATTGAATTTATCATATATCTGTTTTGTTAGCTAAATACAAGAATATTCTATTATCATGTGGAGGTGTTGTAGGTGAAAAGTATTGAAAAAAAATTTATCCAATATGATTATGATGTGTTGCATTCAAAACCGGTGGTATTAGTGGGAAAAAAATACCTAAATTACGGCCAATTTGTAATAGATAAACAATACTTTTCAAAAATAATGGTATAAATGCAGCACCCGAAACAAATGGTAATGATAACATTAATAAAAATGGTACAATCCAATTAGTAAAACCGGCATTTTTATGGCTAACCAACAATACTGGTGGATGATGATGTCCATGATGATATAATGGACCGGCAGCTAGATCTAAACGATTTGTTTCTGCAAAAAAAACAAAACAAAACAAAATCAAATTTTAAAATACAAAAATCTCTGCAAAACATACGCATCTGTGGTGGTGGATGTATTAATTGATTGAATGCAGGCGCAACATTAAATAATCCAAACGGATTTAATGGTTGTAATGAATTTTTATTTGAATGTTGATTAGGATGATAATTTTGATGATGATGTTGTGATTGATGCGATGATGGTGATGATGATAATTGTTGATGATGACGATAATGATTATGATTTTGAGTATGATGACCATTGATCATTGAACCACTATTACCTGTACCATCATTACCACCATTAACACCATTGTTAATTATTGGAATATGATCATTAAAATTTGTATCAAAAAAATTTGGATGAACAAAATTTGTATCAGATGTCATCATCATTCCTGTATTAGATGATGATGATGGTGGTGCTGGTGGTGGTGGTGGAACATTTTGATATACAGGACCATTATTTGGATCAGAAAATATACCCGGCGGAGTCAATGATTCCATTTCGTTGAAACTAATATTGAAATGAAAAAAAATGAGCAAAAATTCAAAAAAAAAAAGAAAAAAAAAATCATACAAATCATAACCATAATTTGGTATTGATGAATCACGTTTCTGTATGTATGCAAGTGGATATTTTTGTCGTTGTGGACGATGATTAAATGAAATAGAATTATTCGCTGGTGATAATGATGATGATTTTGACAATAATATTGGAACGAATGAATCCTGTTGTTGATGTTTTTGTCGTTGTTGTTGTTTTATCACTTTACCAGAAACAATAATTATCAAATAGAAACTAATTAGTAAAATATTATTTATATGATTATAATTCATATTTATTGATATTATTATTATTATTAAAGATGGAAAAAAGTTGATGATTACTACAAAGGTTAATCAATCAATTTTGTTGTTGTTGTTGTTGATTTATAACTTGATAGAAATCGAAACAATCGTTCGATTTGAATGATTGAATAACAATAAACAATATTATTGAAGAATTCAACATTCAATATAAAAATCTTTTGATCGTAAAGAAGTAAGAAAACAACAACAACAAAAAAACAACACAATAAACGATAATGGTAAAGACAATTCGAAAAAAAAGATAGAATAATTGTCATGGTTGTTGATGACAACTAGCTCTCATCATTATCGTCATCATGATCATGATCATCATTATCCATGAACCAGATTGAAGAAAAAAAAAGATTCATAACAGACATTGAACTGATAATAGAGAAAAGAGATGTACGTGAGAAATTTTCGAACAAAAAAAAAAAGAAGAAGAAAAGAATTCAACTTTGAACATAATAATATAAATCAGATCGATTGGATTTCAATCAAATCAAGTCAATTTTTTTTATTTCTTTTATCAGGTTTTTTTTCAATAATTGAATTTTATTGACAAGTAAGTTGGATGGCAATAATTTTTATTGTCATTTTGAAAATGAAGTTTTTTTTCTTGGTTATCCATGATAAATTGAATGAAAATATTGATAGTGTCCGAAAAAAAATCGTAATTGAAATGTAATCAACCAAAACGTCAAAAAGAATCTTAAATCAAAAGACAAATGAATGAATGAATCGAATTGAAGAAAGAAAATTTTATCAATACTTGCATTGATGCATGGATGAATTTTTTTTTCTTCACTGTGAAATATATCCAGTGTGTGACATCATTTCAGAAGGTCATTGAACATTTATAGATTGATTTGATATCAATGATAACAATGATCTTTCGGGTTAAAATTTCCGATGTGTATCGTTTCAGCTATTCTTTTTTTCTTCTTTTCTTTGAATTCAATTTTAATTTGTTTCGACCTGTCGATCAATTTTCATCGATATCCGTATCGATTTCAAAATTGTATCATTCTTTGTCCAATAGACGATACAATGTTTCTCTCTCTTTGTCTTTCTCTTTTTGGGTGATAATCAAAATCTACCGTTTTTTTTCTTTTGTTGTTGTGGTTGTCATCAATCAAAATGTTTGGAATAATGTAGAGTAGTTGATAACAGTTAAAAACAATTTTGTTGTTGTTGTTGTCATAACAGCCTAATCAACATTCAAAGATTTTTAATCGATAATAATTTTTCAATCAAATAATTTCTAAATGGCTCTCATCATCTATCGTCATCATCATCTCTATCATCAAAAGATAAGGATATTATTGATTATTATTTGCCCTCACGCGATGACATCCATTAAAAAAAAGAAAATACATCAAAATGATAACAATTATGTATTTATTTTTTTTTTCATAAATCCTATCACACCCCTTTATAAATTGGTTCATTTTTGTTGTGTTTATGTAAAAAAAAATAATAATAATAAATCTATATGTATGTGACAGAATTTAATAAAGTTAAATGATGATGATAATGATGAATAATAATGATAATGATATTGATGAAATTCGTTTTGATGATGAAAATCTTAAAAATTATGATATTAAAAAATTGGTTGGTAATGGTGAATTCTGTGATGTTTATAAGGCTATAAATCGTATTAATGGACAAGTGGTTGCATTGAAACGATTAAAAATGAGACGTATACAGAATGGACAGACACGTATGGAATGTTTGAGAGAAATTCTTGTATTACGTCGATTAAATCATTCGAATATTATTAAACATTTGGATTCATTCTATGCACATAATGAAATCTATATGGTACTTGAATATGCTGATGCTGGTGATCTATCAAAAATGATAAGATATTTACGTGTTAATAATAAATTATTATCCGAAATGGCAATATTAAATTATTTTACACAAATATGTGAAGCATTAGATTATATGCATTCAAAATTTATAATGCATCGTGATATAAAACCGGCAAACGTATTGGTCATGCAGAATCATACAGTAAAATTAGCTGATTTTGGTTTCAGTCGATTAATATCATCGAATACAGAGAATGTAATTACAGTGGTTGGTACACCATATTATATGGCACCTGAACGTCATTTTCAATTAAAATATAGTTTTTCGGCCGATATATGGTCAATGGGTTGTTTATTATATGAATTGATTATGTTATATCCACCATTTTATGAAACAAATCAACATATTAATATGTTGATTAAAAAAATAACTGATTTAGATTATAAACCAATCGATTCAACATTATATAGTAATGGAATACGACAAATAATTAATAATTGTCTTCGTTTATCACCAATCGAACGTTTGAATATTCAACAAATATTGGAAATGATACGTTTGATTCAATCATCTCATAATAATGAACAACAAAATAATAATAATAATAATGATATTGATTTTAATTTGATTCTTACTCGACAACGATCTAAATCTCTTGGTAATCAAATTAAAAATGATGAGGATAATAATAATAATAATAACGATGATGATGAGATGGATTCCATTAAACAAATTCAATCATCATCCACATCATCATCATCTTCTTCTTCGTTTGGATTGAAAAAAATTTATAAAAATATTAAAAATATGTTTTAAATTGTCGGTTTAATTTTTATCCTATTTTTGGATCACATGAATAAAAATTGTCGTTAGAAAACAAGGAAGAACAAAGTTATTCAATTATTGTTTAATTTTTCAACAAATAAAACCAAATCCATAAAGTTCATTTAATCAATGGTGATAAATCGGAAAAAAATCCTAAACAACTTTTATCGGTCGACAATAGATGGAGATATTGTTTTCAAGAATCATTGTTACAGAAGCCAATTTGGTCTTACAGTGGGAATTAGAAACATCAGCGATCAATATATTCATTCTGTATGTATCAACATAAATGCTATGTTTATGATCAATGAATTGTGACTATAACCTTAAGTTTGAGTAGTCGTAGTTGTTTTGTTAATACCAGTATTGTGTATTGTTACCCCATATTCTTGTCATCAATACAAATAATTTCTATTTCTTCTGTCAAATATCGATGTTAAGATCTTTGTTGTGTGTGTGTGTCTGATGTCTTGGCATTTTGGATTTCGTTTTGATAAAATTGGCTCGGTAAATGGTGGCGCTACAATCATTTTCAACGATTATTTTTACTTTACATGATGTGTGTTTGTTTTATGTAAAAGCTTTTTGTCTTGGATAAATTTTGTCTGTATATTTACACAAAGCGGTATTCTTATTATCATTATGATTATGAATGTACTTTCTTAATTTGTTTTTGTTTTTTGTATTTTAATTTAATACGTATATTGAAAATTTTTCTGATTTGACATCAGGCAATTTATTTGAATATAATTCAAAAAAAAAATATTTATTCGCATTATCAATTTCCATCTTCTACAGAATATTTTGTCTGTATGATAATTTGTTTTATGTATTTATGTGTTCCATAATGATGATGGCAACTTCATTACCATCATCATCATCTTCATCATCAACGACAGCCGCATCATCGACAACATCATCGATTTCGGTATTGCCTTGTAATAATATTATTTCTTCATCATCGGCAACAATATCAACAACAAACACAATGGCCCTGTATGCCTGTACTCGTTGTAATTCTCGTTATCCATTCGATGATCTTTCTGATGGTGAAATGCTTTGCAAGGTTGAGTTTAATTAATTTAATTATCACAAAGATTTATCAATTTTTCGATTAATAGGATTGTCGGGATGCATTTGTCATGGTTAAATGTACTTATTGTCGTTCGGAATTTCAACAGGATTCAAAATCTAATTTAAGCTCAATTTGTCGTAAATGTGACCAGAATATAAAGCTTTACGGAAAAGTATTATATCGAATGTTTTATGTGAATTGATTTTTTAATTTTATTCATATTTTTTTTAATAAGCCAACATTATGTGAATATTGCAATATAACTGCAGCTTTTGTTGGATCTAAATGTCAGCGTTGTATGCATTCAGAACAACGATATGGTCCTCCAGTTACTTGCGATCAATGTAAACAACGTTGTGCATTCCGCCGAAAAGATAAAACCGATCCAAATCGACGTCTAGATAGTGAGAGAAAGTTATTATGTTGGCTATGTACAATGTCATATAAACGTGCATTAGCCAAAGCTAAAAATAAACAATCATCAATACAGAATTCGAATCTAAAACGTGAACATTCAAATCGTTCAAAATACAAGTAAGACATACAAAATTATTTGAGAGAAAAAATGAAAATGACATTTATTTTAATTCAAATTATTCTCAAGACAAGAACATGGAGGCTCAAACGGTACGAGTAGTTCCAATAACTCAAACAATTGGGATCATCGTGATGGTGGTTCATCATCAAATAAAAAACAATGCGTCGATTATGTTAAATCATTTATTAAAACAAGTAATGGAACATTTTTACCAGCACCGGCAACAACAGTATCGATTTCATCATCGAATAATTCTAGCACATCATTATCGGTTAATTCAAATATCGCTCCAGTTACATCAACAACAACATCAATGTCGATGGATGCTAGTAATGATATTATGTCCGTTAGCGATAATGTTGTCGCCGTAACACAACTTCGGGAGAAAATTTTATCACTTGATAGACAGTTGAAAAATAAGAACCAAGAATTGCTCAAAAAAGATGTCAAGGTTCGTATATTCAACATCTACGTTTCATTTATGCTTTTGTGACAGATAATTTTCTGAATTTTTTAAATTAATAGATTAATGAACTCAAATCCGAAATCAGTAAAGAACAAAGAGAATGTCGAGAAAAAATTCAAGATATGACCCGTAAACATAATGAACGTATACAAGAACTGCAACAAAAAGTCACCAATCTGAATAAACAATTAGCATCGTTACAGAAAGCTTCGAAAATTAAAAATTCTATTAATAGTGTTAGTAGTTCCGGTGGTTCAAATAATAACACTGGTAATGATAATAATAGCCCATTAAGTTTCTCTTAAGGTCCATATAATCTTTGAATTACCTTTTTTCAAATATCAACCAATCATATAATAATCATTAACACTAATTCTGCAGTTTGGGTCAAATTATCCATTTTAAAAACAAAATAATAATATAAATTCAAAATCGCAATAGAAAGTGTTAATGTTAAATTTACTGCAAACCGTTCTTTGGACTTCGATCTAATCCAATAAGTATTGCGTTTTTTTACAAAAATCATTGTTATTTTGTTATGCATTCGCGATTTGAATCAGTGATCACATCATCATCATCTTCATCACCATCATCATATTCATCATTCGATGTTACATGAATTTTTATAGCAAAATACATGACAAGCAAATTGCCATGGAAAAAAAACCACACCCGCACTCATGTACACTTACAAAAAAAAAATAAATACATCATAAAATAAACATTCAATATATTAGGATTTACTCATTTAACATTTCTCGATCTCGATTATTTTGTTGATTGATATATAATATATACATCCAAAAAAAATGAATGAAAAATTCAAACAAATTCAGGCCTATTTGATATAATTAATATAAATGTAAAAAAAGAAAAGAAAATTGTTGGGAAAAACCTTCAACAACCAATACAAAACTGTTTTGACAATGATAAGATTTTTTTTTTGTTGAAAATATAGATTTTGAATCGAACTTTTTGAAGAAGGTATACATACAAAATGGATCACAATGAATTGATGTAACTGGTGTTCGTGATATATATTTGTATATTTTTTTCTTTCTTTTTTTTGCTTAATCCCATCATTGAATCTTTTTTTTTCGAATAATTTTTGATCGACAATGAATAAATGCAAATTTTTCTTATCATTTTTTTCAAATTTTTTTTATCGTATGTGATGCAAAAAAAACAAACAAACAAAATTCTATGTTTCATTTATAATGTGTATTATAATTACATTATATATCTACAAACACACACTTACCACATTTGTATAATATATATAAAATTTAGATCAATAAAGATCAATGATAATTAAAACCATATAATCATATTATATTTGGTTTTATCACAATAGTTTTTTTTCGAAAATAATCGATTTAATAACAAAATATGTTTATAGTCATCAATGATGTGGTCAAATAAATTATTTATCATTGTTGAGTACAACTTTTCCCATCATTGGACGTTTAATTTCAAAAGCTTCATAAGCATCAATGGCTTTATCGAAATCATAAACATTACTGGTAAATGGTCGTATCATACCACGTTCAACCAATTGAGCAATATATGCCAATGCTTTTGGATTTGGTAGATAATATGCCCAACGAAAACTGATACCATGTTGAATACCATTCAATGTATCGACCAATGCATCGGAGATTGTACTCATCGTACCCGATAATAAACCATAACGATCATAGTTGCGCAATAATGGTGAACTAAGTGTTACATAAATTGTACGTTTACGATCAAAAACTCGTGTCAACGGGCCAGAACGGTTAGGGATTGCATTGGGATTCTTTTGATTTTCATTTACAACCGATTTGATCAGGTCATAATTTTTTCTTGAAGCCGATGCTGCCGAGGCATCCAGAATCAAATCAAATGTGCCAGGATATTGACGGAGATAATCTTCTGTTTTTTTATAATCGATACATTCATCGGCCGAGGTCAATTCTTTCAACGGTTCGATTGTTTTTGCCGAACAAGTTGTGATGACGTGAGCGCCCCAGAATTTCAACATTTGAATTGCGAAACATCCAACACCTCCGCTGCCACCAAGAACAAGAACACTAAAATTAAGAAAAAAATGATTATAAGTTAGAAAAAATGGATGATTATGAAATGATTAATGAAATAGTCATACTTTTTGTTATGACTGTTATGTGAATTCAATTCGCCAAATGTTGATAATGCAGACCAGGCAGTCAATCCAACATAAGGCAAAGCAGCAGCTTCAACATTTGATAAATTTTTCGGCTTATAACTGATAGCATTATCCGAAGTGATAACATAATCAGCGTGTGAACCATTCTCATATGGAGGTACTGTACCCCATACAATATCACCAGGTTTATAGTTCCAAACACTTTGACCTTTTGAAATAATTTCGCCAACAAAATCACGACCCGGTGTTACTGGTAATCGGCCATATGTAAGTCGATCAATACCCTGTGACATGACCGTATTGCCTAATGATAACATTACATTACCATAACCACGACTCATTTCGATATCCAATGGATTGACACTTGAAGCCAATACTTTGACCATAACTTCATTAGGACGATTCAAAACCGGTAACTGACTATTTGAATTGAATTCGATTGCACGTTTTAGATCCTGATCAAATCGTACGATATTCCATGAACGTTGACTTAGTTTTCGATTGATAGATCCCGATGAATAATGACGTTGACGGCAAATAGCTGTAACCATTCTTTTCGATGCAAACTCCATAATTGATTGTTTTGCGAAAAAATGACAATATACAGTTTTCAAAAATCGAAATAAATTCAATAAGGTAAAAAGATTCTTGAATTATATTCAAATTTGTCGAACAAATCTTCGTTTTCTTATCGTTCAAGAGAAGATGAAGAAGAAGCAAACAGTGAAACAATAAATCAGGTTCAATATATTATTCAACTATAGAAAAAATTGAAACGAGAAAATTCAATTGTATTTTTTTTTATTTAAAAAAAATGTAATCGAAATGCTTCAAGAAATACGATTAAAATATTTGGACATAGGCATTATGATCTCAATATCAAAATTTAATCGAAACAAGATGAACATAATAAAAAATCGAATAATTATAATATATTCGTTCTTGTATCGAAGTTAATGATCAATTAATGAATTAAGTTCTTTTTTGGGAAAAAATTTTTCAATTTATATAGTGATATAATTTTTTGTACATGAAAAAAATTGCTTTCCAATTATCCGGAACATATCATCATCGATCATGCTCGTTACATATTCGATACGTAAAGTTTGTTTAATTCATCGAGAAAAAAAAACGATAAATCGTTATCAAACAAACAAAAAAAAAATGATCATTTTTTGATAATATTTGTAATGCATAACATGTGTATTCGTTATAACAGATATAAATCGAATTTAAAATCAAATCTTTGCCATTGACAATGTATATAGATTTAAAATATCAATCAAAATTTCTTTCGGTCATTGATATAATTATTCATATATGATAAAAAGACAGAGAAAATGATAAGATAAATCGACGATCATTTGTACTAAATGAAACAGATTAGACGATATTGTACACGTACTTCATAATGGAATAAAATTTAAATGTGTAAAGTCATTGATTAAAAAAAACCGGCATAAAGACGTCAATGTAATTACGTCGAGATTAAAGTCTATCGAATGGTGACAGAAAATGATTTCTTTTATTTTCTTATTTGTAGAAATGTGAGAGAGGATAATACCAATGAAAATAATATGATAAAAATGAAATGGCAAATATGGTCATTGTAGTTGTAAATTTCTATTCTATCATTATCATTATTAACCATGATCAATTAAACGTTTGTCCTGATCATGTAGAGGTATATTTGGTGTAAAAAATTTGATTATTTACAGTGTGTAATAAAAATATCATCAAAATAATAGATTCAATTATTCATCCTAGAATTGTTGATGATGATGATAATAAATGAATGATCGGAGAACCGACATGATGAACCGAAATCATTAATCAAAAATCAATTCGACGATCATTGCTTGGGTCTTGTGACATAAAATTGTCTAATAAAATCTTCATGAACATCGACACGTACAATGATATAACTTTATCTGGAGTTATCATTTTTTAAAAATTTCGTATGCTTGTGATAATAGAACCATTATTTAACATAGGTAAGCAAAATAATATAATGATTTTATTTATAGCTAAAATAGGAAATTTTTCGGAACTAATATCTACTGAATTGTTGTTAATCATACATAGGTAGAAAAAATGAACGAGAATGAAAGACAAAAATGATAAATAATTGATCATTGGAACTTGATCGATAAACGTTCTCATCATCCAATGATGATCATGATGATTGATTGGACTGATTTTAGTAATTCAAAATGAACTTATTTCCTTTCAATTTCATATATTGATCATCAACAACAAAGACAAGTGTAACAAAAATAAATGATCATAAATGATAAGTAAAGCGAAATTTTCCGTTCGCCTTTAAACTTACTTTTTTAGTAGTATTGACCAAACTAAAATAATCGATGAAAAATTAGAAAATTTCAAAAATTTCAAAATTTAGAAATCGTTAGGGTGACAAATAAAACACATGGTAAAAATAGAACCTAACAGAATAATGAATTCGAATACAATACTAACAATAATCGAGCCTGTTTCGATAGTTTCGTTCATCATTCCGCTGATGTTTTACACATCACACAAACACAAAAATCTGTGCACATATGTTTTGGGCTATAATGTTCTATTTTTTAAAAAAAACTCATGTGATATCAATTTTTTTTATTCATTTTTTGAAATTTTTTAATTTGATTTGAAAAAAAATTAATGCTATTCCTAGATAATTATTATCGCTATTTTAATAGCAATGTTACAGTATTGTATGTTGTATATTTTAAATCGATTTGACTAAAATGAAAAAGTGTTTATTTGGACTTGGTTTTTAATTCAATTTTTTTTGTTTTGTTATCAATAGGTTTCAAAACGAAATGAATTTGATTATTAACATTAATTGAAATTTTCATTAGTTGATCATTTCTTTTCCACTAATCTTCTTTCCATAATTTATTGTCATTTAAAGTTTAATTTATAAAAAGTAAGTTTAATTTTTTTTCTAACTAAATGATTTCATCACAATTAATTGAAATCCGAAGATGGAGTATAGCGGCGAAGGAATAGAATGTATTCGAAAAGTCGATGCTGGTGAATTATCCTACGAAGATGTATGCAGAAAATTGAATACGAACATTGAAACAGGTCTTGATTGGAATGAAGCTAATCGCCGTCTTCAGATTTTTGGTCATAATGAACTTAATGTCAAACAAGACGAAAGTCTTCTCAGTAAATATCTTGAACAGGTATCTTTTCAATTTCTTTTTATAATCGATTTGATTTCGATAAATTTAAATTTATTTTTCGCTGATTTTGCAGTTTCGTAATCCTCTCATCATACTTTTATTATGCTCAGCATTTGTCAGTGTTTGCATGCAACAATTTGATGATGCATTCAGTATTGCAGCGGTTTGTATTTGGATTTTTATTCTTGCAATTCGTTTGATGTTATCTTCATTACAATATTTCTAGGCCATTATTATTGTTGTTACGGTCGCATTTGTACAAGAATATCGATCAGAAAAATCATTGGAAGAACTAAACAAACTTGTTCCGCCAACATGTCGTTGTATACGTAATGGAAAGGTTGAAACATTTTTGGCGCGATCATTAGTGCCGGGTGATATTGTTATATTGGAAACTGGCGATCGAGTTTCAGCTGATCTTCGTCTTGTGCAATCAATTGATTTGTCCGTGGATGAAAGTAGTTTTACAGGTGAAACTGAACCTGCATCAAAATCATCCGAACCAGTGCAAAATGCATTGACTAATAATGCTAATATTGTATTCATGGGCACTCTTGTTTGTCAAGGCAAAGGTAAAGGTATTGTTATAAGTACTGGAATCAAATCGCAGTTTGGCAAAATATTTCTATTGATGCAATCTGAAGAAGCACCAAAGACACCATTGCAGAAAAGCATGAACACATTGGGCAAACAGCTTTCTCTATATTCATTTGGTATAATATTCTTAATTATGTTCCTTGGCTGGATACAAGGACGACCATTGATGGAAATGTTTAATATTGGTGTATCGTTAGCTGTTGCAGCCATACCGGAAGGTTTGCCCATTGTTGTTACCGTTACGCTTGCCCTTGGTGTAATTCGTATGGCTAAACAAAATGCCGTTATCAAACGTCTCCCAACTGTTGAAACATTGGGATGTGTTAATGTTATTTGTTCGGACAAGACAGGAACGTTGACCAAAAATGAAATGACCTTAACCTCGATTGTAACATCTGAATTATTTCATGCTGAATTATCCGGCATTGGTTATGATAGTTTTGTTGGCGAAATTGATTTGAAAACAAAAAATGCCGAATCTACTAAGCCTCAATTTGAATCGATACGACGTTTGCTCAGAGTTGGTTGTATTTGTAACAATGCTCAATTAGTTAATGGTCGTTTATTTGGACAACCAACCGAGGCAGCTATACTTGTTGCAGCTCGTAAATTTGATATGACCGATATTCGTCAACATTATGACCGATTAGAAGAGATACCTTTCTCTTCCGCTCAGAAAATCATGGCCGTCAAAGCAATACCGTTGTCCAACTTTATAAATAGTGATTTAAAAGAATCGACACTCATTGGCGATGATGATGGCGATTGTACATTTTCCAATAATTGTGCCAAATATTATGTGAAAGGAGCTTTAGAAGTTTTGCTTCCAACATGTACAAAATATGCTTTTATTGATAAACAAGTGCCTCTTGATAAAAATCAAATGGATAAGTTTCATATAGCCGCACAAGATTTGGGTCGTAAAGGACTTCGAGTACTTGCCTTTGCTTACGGTCCCACCATGAATGATCTCACATTTGTCGGAGTGGCAGGTATATTTGATCCACCTCGAGAAGGTGTACGTGAATCGATTCAAGCATTACGATCATCAACTGTTGAAGTTAAAATGCTAACTGGTGATGCTAAAGAAACAGCCTGTGCTATCGGTCAACGTCTTGGTCTTCATGTCCCGGATAAGTTACCGATTTCGGGCGAAGAAATTGATCAACTTGATGATGAATCATTCGCTAATATTGTTGACCGTATATCGATTTTCTATCGTGTGGGTCCTAGTCATAAGCTACGAATTGTCAAGGCATTGCAAAGCCATGGTCTTATTGTTGGAATGACCGGTGATGGTGTTAACGATGGTGTTGCGTTAAAAAAAGCTGACATCGGTATTGCTATGGGTAAATCGGGTACCGATGTTTGTAAAGAGGCTTCCGATATGATTCTGGTTGATGATGATTTTCACACAATTATGTTAGCCATTGAAGAGGGTAAAGCAATTTTCTATAACATACAAAATTTCGTTCGATTCCAGCTCAGCACGTAAGTTTTCTTATTTTCAAAGTAAACAAATTTTAAAATTCTTTCATTTGTTTAAAAACAAACAGAAGCATTGCTGCCTTATCATTGATTGCCATTTCCACATTGTTACACATTCCAAATCCTTTGAATGCAATGCAAATTCTTTGGATCAATATTATCATGGATGGCCCACCTGCTCAAAGTTTAGGCGTTGAGCCAGTCGATCCGGATATATTATCTCAACCGCCGAGAAACGTTCGACAACCAATGATTACTAAAGATTTGATTTTTAATGTTCTAGTTTCAGCTATCATAATCATATTAGGCACATTATTTGTTTTCATTCAAGAGGTAAATTATTTCATTCGAATACTTGAATTCGGATTTAATGTATTTTTTATGTGATTACAAAAATCATCCAGATGAGTGATAATGTTGTTACACCGCGAGATACCACAATGACTTTCACTTGTTTTGTTTTCTTTGACATGTTCAATGCATTAAGCTGTCGATCTCAGGTATGTTTTTTTTCAGCATTCATGTTTCGGAAAAATTAATAATCATTATTTTTAACTGTTTTAAAGACAAAATCTATCTTTCGAATTGGCATTTTAAGAAATCGATTTTTTTTGTTCGCCGTTTTATTTTCATTAATTGGACAATTATTGGTCATCTATGTTCCTTTCTTTCAACGTATTTTTATCACCGAATCCTTAACAATACAAGATTTATTATTCTTATTATGTATCACATCAACCGTATTTATAGTATCGGAAATACGAAAATATTTTTGGCAAAAAACCTACAGAAAACAGATGTTCATGATAGCTAAAGAAAAAATGAACATGGTATGAAGTTCATCTTTTTATACATTTTGTACATCTTTTTTTTTATTCATATAAATTCACATCTATCGGACGCTAGTCGTAATTGGAGAAAAAAAAATTTGTACCCTATATTACTATTTTCAACAAAATTTTGCTTTGTGATTCTTTAATTACTTTATTTTGTCACTTTTTTCAATTTTTCTTTCACAATGAAATTTTTTTTACAAATAGCCAAAAAAAAGATTAATTTCATTACGAACGTGATTTTTTTATCCATTAAATTTGTTTTTCATCAAAAATATTTAATAAAAATTTTAATTTATAATCATTGTAAATCATAATTTCTTTTAAAGATGAAATGTGGGTTATGATTAGAATGATTATCAAAATAAAATTATTATTTTGAATTTATTTCATTGGCATATATCTTGGATATAGTATGGATAAAACAGTAGCAGATGGCGGAACTGTCGGATTTTATTATTATTATTATTTATTGCAAATTAGCTCATCCGATCATTTTTCAATATTCGAAAACGTGTTATATTCTTGTTTGTAAATTTATTGTAATTATTGCATATTTTTTTAGTTTTTTTTTATTTTCCCATCAATTTTAACATCTTTTTTTCAATTGACAAAAAACAAATTCATATAAAATGTTTTCCGATAACCATCAAACATTTTATGATATTCTTAACATCAAAAATGATGCAACAATTGATCAGATTAAAAAAAATTATCGTTCATTAGCATTGAAATATCATCCGGATAAGAATCTAGATAATGTTGTTGAAACGACAGCTATATTTAATCGTATACAAGAAGCATATGAAATACTTTCTGATCCAGAGAAACGTAATTGGTATGATAATCATCGTGATGTATTTCATAAAGATTTGGTTGATGTTTCAGAATATGAAATTGATGAAAAATATTTTCAACCAAATTGTTATAATGGTTATAATGATGATGATAATGGTTTCTATACTGTTTATAGAAAATTATTTGAAGATATTATTGCACAAGAAATTCGCTTCTATGATGATCCAAAGGATTTTGAATATCCAACATTCGGTGATTCTAATAGTGATCTGAAATCGGTTAAATATTTTTATGATATTTGGCAAAGTTTTAAAACGGTTATTAGTTTTAATCAATTGGATAAATATGATATTCGACAGGCACCAAATCGTCGTTTCGGTCGATTTATGGAACGAGAAAATGAAAAAATCCGAGAACAAGCGCGTAAACAACGAAATTTAAATATTCAGGTTCTTGATTATTAATGGTATTGATCAATATGTAATCAGTTTTTTTAATCTTATTAGAAATTGGTCAAATGGTTGCGTAGTCGCGATAAACGAATGAAAAAGTATGCTGAACATTTAGCTGAAAAGAATCGTGATAATCGAAAAAAATCCGAACAACAACGACGGAAAAAAATTCAAGAAAATCTAAATATTAGTAATAATTATGTCGAAACGAATGGTTTTAAATTGTCGGAAGAACAATGGCTAGAATTGGAAGCAACACTCGATAATGAAGTGGAAAATAATCGACAAATGAAAAAAGAAAAAAAGAATAAAACAACACAGCCAACAACAATAGTTGATGATAGTATTGATGACATGGAAATCATTGGAACTCGAATAGAATCCATTGATTTAGAACCACAATCCCAAATCGATCCGGATGATGATGGTAGAAATAATAATCAAATTGATTGTGCTAACAATGATGATAATGATGATACGAATTTACTGTATATTTGTGATGTTTGTAATAAGAATTTCAAAAGTTTAAATTCATATAATAATCATCTTAAATCGAAAAAACATTTAAATAATGTTAAATTATATGTACAAATGGCGGCAAATGATAATGATGATGATGATGATGATGATTAACAAATTATTAGTGAATGATTTATTTAAATATTTTATTTTTTTTGAAATTATTATTATTTGAAACAAAAAAAAAACTTTTAAATTGGATAATATAATTAAATGAAAAATTGAATTAAAAAAAAATTACAATTGGAAAAAAATATGATTTTCAAAAGAAAACCAATAATTTTTGAAAACAAATGAAAAAAAATGTAATGACAAGAATGGTGTGACCTAGATGGCGATCATTTACATTACGATTTAAACAGAATAATTCCTGTTCCTCATCTGAAGCTTGAGAAAAACATTGTTTCAATGTTTGTGTTATTGGTGATTCAGGACAATGATCAAAATCATCTAGATTCATTCCATTAATGATTCGATCATGATTATCATTATCCGAAGTGCATTGATAATCGCGTAAAAGATAATCACCATTTGGATTTGATGAATTATAAACAATATTTTGATCCAATAGCCATTTAAAATCACAGTCACATTTGAGCGGATTCTTTGACACCGATAATATTGAACGTCGTTTGAAAAAACTTTGAAATACATTTTGTGAAATTTGAGACAAATTATTAATATTCATATTCAAATAAATTCGTCGTCGTAGATAGCTGAATATGCCAGGTGGAAATGCATTTGTTTGTAATTTATTGCTACGTAAAAATATACGTAACAAACTTTGCGTTGTATTTTTAATCTCTAATGAATGTAATGATAATTTATTCAGATGATTGCCATCTAAATTGATCAATTCTATGGCATTCAAACCGATGAAGGCATAATCTTCAATACGTTCAATTCGATTATCAGTTAGAAATAATTGTCGTAATGCTGGCTGTGAACGATTAAATGCATATTTTGGTATAAATCGTATACCATTATCGGTCAAATGTAATGTATTGAGTGCAACAAATCTACTAATTGCATCGAATAATCCAATATTATCATTATGATTTGAGCCTAATAATTCATTATCTTCAATCATAATTTCCGTTGTAACATTATGTGATGAATTAAATGCATTCGGTTCAATACGTTTTAATCTATTGTTTCGCGATAATGAAATACGTCGAAATGAAACACCCGAAAAAATGTCATCAATCGATCCAATATGTTCCAATTGTGTTTGAACCAATTTAAATTCATCATATACAGGTCTTGCATGTTGTTTATCTAATTCATTTTTTAGATTGATGAATATTTTTTTCAAATCAAAATCGGATGTAATGTTTGTACATTCAATAAGATTAAAATAATTGGCACATTTACATGGTATTATTAGATCACGAGGTGGGCAGACGGCCGATTTTGATGATTGCGGTAAAATTATAATTACCGACATAATAATCATCGATAATTTCCGATGTATAGACATTGCTGTCGTTTCGTCATTCAAGCTTCACACACACACACACTCACACACTCTCTCTCACTTGCACACCCGTAATTACACTAAATCAAATATTTAAAAAAGTATAACAAATGAAAACAAAACAAAGAAAAAATGGATCAATTTTTAGTTAATCGATGAACAAACAAACAAAAAAAAATCTGTAGGCGCCAACTCTATCACCAATTATTTTCGAAATGATCGATGAAAGAGAATAGCAATAATTTTGAATAAAAACACTGGCTACATAAAGATTTTTTCTTTCATCATAATGATTAGATCCATATTTGAAAAACACAAAAATTAATGAAATTAATGATGAATGAATGAATGAATAAATTTTTTCATATTAGAAATGATATTTCTGTTGTTAAATTCATGAAGATTTTTTTCGTTGTAATTTTCAGCCGAGAAAAAGAATATTCTGTATGTCGTAGATATTTTTTTTCACAATAAAAATTGATTTCAACAAAATTCACAAGCACATCACACACACACAATAATTATTCAACTTTGAAAAACTTAATTTGAATATGGAATTCAGCCAAAAAAACAAACAAACCAAAAAAATGAATTTCTCTCATCTACAACAAAAAAAAGTTACTATTTTCTAGAGAAAAGATCAATATGAATATGACACGTGTAGATTTTTATTTATCGTTGTCAGATTGTTGTTGTTGTTGAAGGATAAATGTAATTAATGGATGAAATCATCATCCCTAAGAATAAAATATAACATCATGAAATACGTTTTGCACTTGCTAATTCTTATTCATTCATTCAGTTAAAACGATAGACAACATTTTCAAGTTTTAGTCATCATCATCGGTAATGTTTAATGATGGCAGTTGAAAATGTATACAAAAAAAAAGAAAATTTCCTTTTTCTTCAACAACAAAATGAATGGCTCCACCAAAAAAAGGTACGCTCCAAACATTGGATAAAAAAAAAGTATTTTTTTTTTGTAATTTAATTTTTATTTTTTATTTAATCATTTTGAACAAAACAAAACACCAACACACAATATTTTTTTTTGCATTCGTTGTTTCCCCTTTTTACAACCCACCATCATTATAATTTCTATCATAGAAGTAAGTAACAGAAAATCTGATAAATCTTGTTTTTTCCCCCTTCATTTTCTTCTTCTTCTTCACGCAAACATTTCTTCATTATAAACAAATGTCCACACCCATTATATATTATTATTACTTTTTTTTTCATTTGTTTCATTCTATTAATTTTAATTATTACAAATCTACAATTGATTGAACAACAACAACAACACAAAAAATAACATCACCAAAATGCACAAACAATAAATAAATAAAACAATTAATGATAATAACTAACCGAAAGTTTATTTTTTCGAATCGAAATTGTTTGTTCTAATTTATTCGCGAATCAAATGAAAAAAATATCGTTTTATAAATTCTCTGTGTCAAGAATAATGATGATGGTGTGTGTATGTGTGCATATGGGTCGCCTACGCGTTTTAATCATTTCTAGTTTTTTTTTGTTCGTTGTTGTTGCTCTCTCCCTGTCAATGTTGTTGTGGTTGTTTTTTTTTTTAAATATTTCATTTTCAAATGCCGTATCATTATCACAACCACATTACAGCAAACAACATTTTATTTTCACATAAAAAAAAATAATAATAATAAGTTGGATGCTGTTGAATAAATTTGCGAAATGGATAAAGATTGAGAGAATGAGAGAGAAAAAGAGAAAGAAATAACGTTTCCTTATTTGTCACACATCAAATATATGTTTGTACATAAAGTTCTATAGTAAAGTATAAGAATTTTTTTTTTTTTGGAAAAATACAAAATTCATCATTTCAGTGGATACAATTTGTTTCTACATAACAAAGTTGTTAGTCATACGTACATTCTCATAAACACACAAAAAACACACACCTTACAATCAAAGTTTTATTAAGATAAGAAAAGGAAAGAAAAAACAAATTTCCAATTTACCCAATTTTATTACTGCTATATAATATCGAATAATAATTATGATTCACCTGAATGGCAATCGATAACGTAAATAACATTTTTCGGTCATTGTTGTTGTTGTTGTTTGTTTGTCTGTCTAATCGGATCATCGTCAATGTCGGTATATCACTGTATTTTTTTTCATAATAATTATTTAGTTTCAATACTGTTTTTAGTTTAGATAAGGTAAGATATTAAGAATGGAAAGGCCTCTTTATTTGCAAAAAAAACGAAACAAAATATCGTCGAAAAGAAAAAAAGTTTTGAACAGTTTCTGATTATTGTTGTTTTTTTCTGGTTTGACTAAAAGTTTACCTGAGAGAACAAACAATTCTATTATTTTTTTTAATAACTAAAAATCAACCATGATATTTATATTGTGAATATGAATACAAATGAAATCTTATTAAATAATATTTGCTATAAATAAATTGAAATCCAAAATTGAATACAAATCATTTTCAATTTCATAAATTGAATTAATTCTTTCACTTTTAATTTTGTTTGTTTGGTTTGATGTTTTCATTTTTGTCAGCTACTACTCACAAACAGATCCTGTGCTGAAATTGTTTTTCTTTTCTTTTTTTTTGATTAGAAAAAAAAATCCAAAATGAATAAAGATGAAAACCAGAAAAGATGAAATTTCTTTTGTGTTGAATTTCATTATGGCCAAACAAAACCTAATAATAATAATAATAATAATAAAACATTGCTGAACATCCCCTCCAAAAAAAAAATAGAAATAATCAAATCATCATTGTGAATATAATGTGATGCTGTCATGAACAGATTTTTGTTTTGTTTTGTTATCTCATTCACTTAAATTTGATCAATTCAATGCAATTGCAAAACAAAAAAGATATTTCTATTTTTTTTTTATCTTTTACATAATAAAATTTATGATTTTCTCTTGTTTATTATTTATTATATAAATTTTTCTAAAATACGAAAGAAAACAAATAATATGGATATGGATATTTAGACCAATGGATAGCTTGCAGCTGTTGCAATACCGCATTGATTGTTTTTATTTCGTGACATTTTAATATAACCATTTTCACCCCATCCAACACCCCAACTATTTTTGACTAACCAATATTCTTGTCCAGTACTTTCATCAACACCATAACCAACAACTAATACACCATGATCTAATTCGGTTGATGAACATTCTGGTTCATCATAAACGCCTTCATTATAAAATTGAAATGATGGTTGTGATGCATCAATAGCGATTGATATTGGTCCAACAGTTGCTAAGGCTTCTTTTAATTTTTTTTCATCTCCTTCGGGTATGTCAACAAAACCAGTATCGGTTGCACCAACAGTACGTTTTGTATAACGACATTGACCAACTTTTCCTTCATATGGATAACTTTTTTCCGTATCAATACCATGATTTGATTTGATGTATTGAAATGCATAATCCATTAAGCCACCATTACAGCCATTATTACCATATTTAGCTGAACAATCGACAAGATTTTGTTCACTCAATGAAACTAAATGACCACTTTTACGAGCATGTTGACCTTCCAAAGCACCAGTCTATCAACATAGTAAAAATAATCAAAAGATTTTTTAAATTTTGAATATTGAAATGATTCATTCTATACTTACGGCACTAAATGACCAACATGAACCACAATGGCCTTGATTTTTGACTGGTGTGACCAGATTATGTTTACGCCAATCAACTTCATTTGGTGCTTGAATATTATGTGGACTTAGAAAAAGGCTAGCATCATTTTTCGAACGTCTTGATTCATCATATTTATAGCCATTCATTATATTAACAAATTCATGATGCATTAGATCAGCAAATTCATTTAAAGCAAGTGTAAAATTTTTTTCACCACGGGATGCTTTTTGATTATGTTTAGCAATAAAATGTTTATTCTCCATAAATACACGGAAACGGAATTCATCTTCATTTGAATCATAAGATTTACGATGATAATCTTTATAGGTATTCCATTCTTGTTGAAATAATTCTCTATAGCTTAGACAATTAATCAATGTAATTGTTGTACCAAACAATAATAATAATAATGAATATTTTAAATAAAACATTTTTTTCGGATGAAAATTTAAACAAATCTAATCAAAACAGAAAATGGAAAAGAAATGCGTATTTAATTCGAACGAAAGACCACCAACATTAGGCTGTGCAGAGGTTAAAATAAAATAAATAAAAAAAAAATCCGCAATGAAATCAAAACGATATCGTTATTGAAGTCATTCAATCATCACCATCATGATAATTTATATATGTAGAAAAATTTTAATCATCAAATCAAATCATAATATATCTTATCATCATTATTAATGAACAGAGAAGAGTGTGAAATTCAAATTGATTTAATGATTATTATTCATGTGACTAATTTTTTTTGTTTTGTTTGTTGTTTATTTTGATTGATAAATCAACATACATCGAATAAAAATATATATATGGGATGGAGGATGAATGATCGCGTTTGTCGTTTTTTATCACATAATTTGTCCATGAATCATATTTTAAAGTCAAATATGGTTAATTGAAAACTAAATGACAATTATGGTAAACATGCATGTATGATGAAATCAAAAAAAAAAAAATCATTATATGAAAATCAAATGATATGAATATGACCTGAGAAAAATTGATTGAAAAACAAAAATAAATGACAAATTCATTGATAGAATTATATGGAAATTGATGATCAATTTTTTCAACATGAAAGAAATTCGAATAAAGAGAAAAAAAATGATGCACTTAAATATTTGCAAACAAATGAGAAAATTTGATTTTTCATTACTGCTGACACAACCGAATGTACCGAAATTTATAGTCATCATCATTTGGATTTGTTTCAATCAATTCATCAATTATACAACAAAAAAAAACAACGAATGTTAAAAATCAATCATTTTTGAAGGGATTAAAAAGTTTGATTTATCGAATTTTTTTTCTATCGAATTGACTATATGACCATCTTTCTTAGCCATAATAGTTGAACATTTCCATTTAATTTCCATGATGAAAGTTTCCAATTATTATTTTTTTTCTTTGTTTTCGAATAAAACATCACAACTTATTAATTAAACAAAAGTTATCTATAAATTTGATCAAGAATCAATATTTAGTCATGATAATGATCAATAAAGAAAAACAAAAATTATTATTTTCATGCTTATTTCCAATCAAAATATTTATTTAGTCGGAAAAAAATATTGAATCGATTCGATTTGATGATGTGATGAGATAAATCAATATACGCAGTTTTCATCGATCGAAATACAAACGAAATAAGATTGATATTAATATTATTTTTTTGGAAATATTGAAATTTGAGTGTGTTTTGTTTATGTATTTTTGTGTTATTTAAAAAAAATGTACAGAAAAATTTTATTTAAACAGAATTTTGTTTAATTATTATCTTTTCTTTTGGTTAAAAATACATTTTGGGCACAATATACGCATTCACATTACACAAATTATAAATGATAAACATTTATAATGATAATGACAATGATGATGATGATAATGATAATGATAATTAATGGATTGATGACAGCGAAAAAAAAAACAATAAAGTTAAATTTTGTATTCATGATTCTAATCAATAAATTTTAAAATTATTGATTGAAAATAATTTCTTTTCAAATAGAAATTGAATTCTATTTCAAAGATTTTCATTTTTTCTTTTTCTTATCTTTACTTTTTTATTTTCTCATTTATTAAATCGATTTGTTTAGTAAATGTTTTTTACTTTGTTTAAACCATTTATTATAGACATAATAATGTTTGCTATTTCTTTGACAGGTTTTTGAATCGATTTTTGAATCACATCCACTTTTTTGTTGATTAAAACGTTTACCATGTTCACAATCGAATCGATAAGGTATCATTTTACCTTTGGTAATCGATAGACAGACAAAAAATCTTTGACAATCGCTTGTTAAATCAGCATAAGCTAAACCATGAATTTTATCTTCACAACTGAAAATTTCGGTTGGAATCTGAAATGATTCTGAACTTTTGGTACGTTCGGCTAATAATGATTCACTTAATTTATGATTCATATGTTCTTCTTTACGTTGCTGTTGTAGGCTAATATAGCGTTTTCGTCGTCGTCGCTCATTCGATATGTTATCATCTTCATGATCATTATTACCTTGATTACCAACTCTATTTGATATGGAATCTTTTTGTTGTGAATTTAATATAGTTGATTGTAATAATGTTGATGCGGCATTTACCAGACCAGTTTCATTATAATCACTGTAATCATATTCATAATCGGCTACACCTAAATCTGATGATGGTTGTGATGGTTGTGAAGATGATAATGGCAAAGGTGCTGGTGTTGTAGTCGATGTTGTTGTACTGGTTGAGCTTATTGTACGACTATTTCGAAAATTTCTATTTATATTGAATGAATTGCCATGCGATGAAGATGAAGATGAAGATATTGATGGTGGTGCAGATTTTGGTATCGGATTATTATTATTATTATTATTATTATTTGATGCTATGATGGGTAATGATTTTGGTTGTTTATTCGTATGGCTTGAAAATTTCTGTGGTCTAGATGGAACGGCTACTGGTTTCACTGCCGATTCGACATGTTCACTTGGATTATCGATACTACCATCGATACTATCATAATATCTAGATGCCAATGGACAAAATACTATGAAAACAAAACATAAATGAATTTGATTAATTAACTTCAAGGAAACAAAGTTCATTATTCATCGATTCGAATGCAAAATAAATAAAAAAAAGAATACCTTCTTCATGTGGACGACAAACACGGGTAGCTTGTGAGAAGATAGTACCGTTGGGACAGGCAAAACTTTGTGCACTCATTGTACCAGTGGGATTCGGTATGCAAACATAATATACAGCACATTTTGTTGCTGGATCGGCATAATATTGACCCGGATGTTTATCATGACAAGAGAATCCAGTTTTTGGATGATCATAAACATTTACAAACACTTCAACCTGTCGATAAATTGGTCCATTATATGCTTGACAATCAATCGATAATGAATTGATCCAAATAAAAACAATGATTGATGACAAAATCCAATAATGATAATGATCTATATATGAATATTAGAAAAACAATGAAAACAAAGAAAAACAAAAAACAATTTAGCATCAAACATCGATTAATAAATTCAAATCAGAAAAATGTTTACATTTTGGATCCATTTCTGATAATAAAATAAATTCCAACACAAATGGCAATCAATTCACAAATGAATGATGATACAATGTTTTGAAATAATTCGAGTTTGTTCATCAATTCAAATATTTTAGTCTTTATTTATCTCTCTTTCTCTTTCATTTTCTCACTTATTTATCATCAAAAAAATTTTTATGATGATACTCAGACAAACTGATATTTATACAGGAAAAAAATTACAATCAAATCAATTTTATCGAAATATAATCTGAATATCTAGCCAAACTTGATTCTCTTTGCCGTCCGTATAAAATGTATTATTATTTTGGGAAAAAAAATCAAGTTCCTAAGTTTTTTTTTGAGAAAAAAAGAGCCCAAAAACAGGCATATTGTCGTATTAAATGAATATTTTCAAAACAAACAAACAAAACGAAACGAAACAAAACCAAAAAAAAAAAAATGAAAAAAAGAAAAAAAAGATTATGAGGTCAGTAGGATAGGTTGAAAACGAAAATATTAAAAAAAAACGGTGTGAGTGTTAAAAAGCTGCTATTACCGAAAAAGCAACAACAACAACAACAACATTTCATTAGTTTTTCATCTTCCACCCACCATTGAAAGATGAATATGATAAAGAAATGTCGGTACCAATATTCAAATTTATTCCGAATTGTTTCGATCTCATTTCTTTTTTTTTCTCTCATCGAATTTCTCTCGTTTTTGTTGTTGTTGTTGTTACTTTTGTTTCACAACGATAATCCGTGGTCATTTTTTTTGTTGTTGTTGTTTTGTTTTGCCGACTGGTTCATACACAATGGTGATTGTTTGTTTGTTTGTTCTGGAACCGGCTATCATGGAAAAATGATGATAGATTCAGAACAAGTTTCGGAACCCAATCATATTCATTTATTTCTTCATATTATTTTTTTTTTGCTCATTCTTGTCATCAGCAATTTGATAATCTTATCTGGTTTTTTTTTCTAAATTGAAATTATTTTCGATATAAAGTTTTCCATCATAGCCATCATCATCATAATCATGATGAATTTAGGCAATTTAGAAATATATAAATAATACAGAAAAAAATGTTGGGCCAAAGTAAAAAAATAAAAAATAAAATTATAAACTAAAAATAGATTTGGCCAATTTTGTTATTGCCATTGATGTTGATGTTGATGTTGATGTTGATGTTGATTTGTTTGTTTGAATGTGAATAAGAATGGATTTTTGTTTCTGATGTCCAGTTTGTTGATATAATATTTATATATATGATGAAAAGCCTGGATAGATGTTTTTCTCTATTTTCATTTTCATTTTCTCTATACATCCTCCGTTTTTCTATCTATTTACAAATAATATTACAATCGGATCTATCCATTTTGACGGTTTAATACGAAAACAATGGCATATTGATGATGAAAATCTAATAATGATGATGATGATGATCATAAAGAAAAAAGATTTCAGATTCAATAGAATGGATATGATTTTCATTAATTTTTTCCAAGATTCGATTACAGATTATTATTATTATCATATATTTAGGTTTTCATTTTTCATTGATTCTGAAATATTTCCAAAATCTTAATGTTACGAATTTTTTGTTAGTTTTTTTGAGTTAATTTGATTGTTATTGTTTCGTTATACGAGATATCAATCATCATCAGATAACGATAACGGAATAAATAATCAAAATTATGATTTCGATAAAAATGAAAAGAGAAAAAACCAATTTCAAACTTGATTCTATTGAGACAAACATGTATATGCGTCTGATGATTATGATGTTTTTTTTTTGGTTGTATTTGCATCTAAGATATGAGTGAAACAAAATTATATTAATAAATTATTTGTTGTTTCTTTTTTTTCAATCTTAAATTCTCATACATATGCCGATATGGTTGATATATTTTAGATATATTCTCATCATCATCATCATTATCATTATTATTAGATGTTTTTTTTTCTCGTATAAACAAAATGAAAATTGATTGACTTTTGGGATTTTTGTTTCCCATCTGCCTTCTATATCTTTCCATCTAAATAAATCAATTTTGTCATCGCAAATTTCAAATATCAGTATTTTTTTTCTTCATTCTATTTTTTTTTTTTTTGTTTTGTTAATACAATAGTAATGATAATGATAGCTTTAAACGACCGTTGCATTATTGTGTCATAAGTGATCACACATAGCAATTTCAAATTGTAAAAAAAACTTTTTGTTTTTTGTTTTATATTTTATTCAATTCGACTCATCATTTCATATAGTAGTCGTCGAATGGCATGTTAGGAACAGATAAATTCTGTGCGTGTTTTTTTTCTCTATCTTTTTTTCTTCATTTCGCAATAAAGAAAGAATGAAAGAAATAGAAAAATGGTGCAACGATTCCCAGATCCTAGTGCAACACTATTTGTACCATCATCATCATCATCATCAGCACCCTGCTGAAAAAACATAGCAGCCATCAGTTTTTTTCATCATTCTCACATAGACATGAAAAAAAATTAAATAAAGAAAAATAAACTGAAAAAAATGTTCATTTTCGAATATAGGACTTTTTTTTTGTATTCAACATTAGCATCATAGCATCATACATCGATAAAGATTCGGATCATTTGGACGCAAACTCTGGAACTGTTTGTGTGTGCGTGTGTGTGATCAAGATGCTGTAATTCTTTTAGCTTTTTTTTTGGCTCTCGTTATAATATACAAGAACAAGATGGGATGCTACTGTATATACTTTTGGAATGTTTTTTTTGTTTTGTTTTCTCGATAACATTCTGGAATCGGTAACAAGAGCAGCATTAGTGATGAAGAAAACCCTAAAATAAAAACAGACTCAGTAAAACAAAAATCGAAATTTGTTCAATATACACAAAACACAAAGAAAGACAAGACAAGACACGGCAAGAAATTATTATGATGAAAAAAAAACCGACAAACAAGACTAAACGAAATTTTCTTTTAATGATAATGATGATGTTCGGTCCAGTGATTGCATTTCAGTCATAATATTTATACGAAAGAAAAAAAAATAGCCACAGCCATATTTATGTTCTGTTATCCCAATCAAATCGTGTTTGAAATTCCATATCGAATAGTATGATTTTCTTGTCTGTAATGATTATCATTTTGGAATTTTACATTGCATGGCCAGAATCATTATTGACGGCGGAAATTGTGTCATCATCAAAATCATCTACATCATTTCGATAATTATATGTTCCATCAATCTAATCTAATTCCTGTTCGAAATTATTTCATACAACTTTATTTATCCACATAAAAAAAATTGTGAATCATATATAATTGATTGAATAAATAAAGATTTAAAATGATTGAAAAATATTATTATCATCATCATCGTTAGCCTTATCATAATTTTTCTTATCAAGCAATAATAAACGACAATTATTTGAAGGAAGAACTACAGAATAAACTACAGAATTTTATTGATTGATTCCAATTTGTTTTCAATGATGAAATTACAAATAAATATGAAAACTAATGAAATCATTTTGCTATCTTTTCATCAAATTTCATCATTTAAATTTTTAATATCTATTTTTTACATTTGGAATATTTTTACCCTTGTTCAATCTTCCTTGCCACATGTGGTCAAAATAGGTGAGCAGCCCTTGGGCCCTATTTGTTAATTTGTTTTTCTTTTTTTTTATTTGTGCGTAAAAACAATGTTTACATTCTTTTAAATATCATTCTACAAGGCGGACTATTCGAAAATGGTGATGAATCTGTTGAATTAGCATTTCGTGATGCTATCGAAAAAATCAATGAAGAAGCCATCTTACCAAATACAAGACTTGAAGCTGTCATTGAAAAGTTGGAACGTTGTGATAGTTTTCAGGCTTCTAAACGAGGTAAAACAATTTTATTATTCAATTTATTTATTTGTTTATTATTTTGAATATTATTTTATTTATGAAAAATAATCATTAATTTTTATAATTAAAAGTTTGTAGTTTACTTCATGATGGTGTTGCCGCTGTATTTGGTCCACAATCGGTTGAAACCAGTGCTCACGTTCAATCAACATGTGATGCTTTACATGTTCCTCATATGGAAATGCGTTGGGATTTCAAATTTGATCCACCATCAAATCATTCGATAAATCTCTTTCCACATCCATTAGCATTAGGTAATGCATTTCGAGATCTAATTAAATTAAAAAATTGGAAAAGTTTTGCCATTTTATATGAAGAAAATGAAGGTACATTTTTATTTTTGAGAATATTAAATTATTAAACAAAAATTGATTTCGAAATGTTTTTATCCTGATGATTAAAATAGCATTAGTTCGTATGCAAGAAATTCTAAAAGATCCATCATTACGTGAAAAACGGATTGTTGTACGACAATTTCCAGTTGGCAGTGGTGAATATCGTACCACATTCAAAGAATTACATAAATTGGCTATCAAAAATATTATTGTAGATGTACCTCAGGAACATATTTACAATGTATTAAAACATGCTCAACAAGTCGATATGTTATCCGATTATCATAATTATTTTTTCACTTCATTGGATCTACATACGGTAGATCTGGAAGAATTTCAATATGTTGGTGCCAATATTTCGGGTTTCAGTCTAGTCGATCTGAATTCAAAAGATTTTGGTCAAATTTTAAATAAACTTCAACGTGATAGTAATACACGTTACAATTGGAATGGTGGTATTGTTGGTGATTCATTTGATTCTATGGTTCGATTGGTAAGTTCTTTTGTTTTTTTATTTATTATATAATTGTAATAGAAAATTTCATTATTGAATAAATATTTTAAATGGCTGCATTCTTCATTGACAGGTTTCATCGCATAATTTTACTGTGAGTATTAAACATATAAAAAATTCGCACACAACAGCAATACACAATTTTCTCGTATGATTGACATCATACTATAATTTTACTTTTATTTTATTGAATGCAAATAATTTTGAATAAAGATTAAATTATGCAAATTTTTTTTTTGTTGCTCCTCTTTGTCTACAAACATACACGTACGAACTTAAACAGACCGAAACGGCACTTGTTTATGATGCTGTCCGTTTATTTGCACAAACATTGTTTGAAATAGAAAAAAATGGTGCCACAATCCATCAAAATTTTCAACAAGATGATGTCAGTTGCGAAAAAGAAAAACCATGGCGTTTTGGTTCAACAATATCAAATTATATGCGAAATGTACGTAATAAAATTCATGACGTTGTGTTTTTTTTTCTCTTGAAATTATTTTTGTCATTTTTTTATTTATATTCATATTATTAACTAGATTGAAGTAAATGGCCTCACTGGTCCGATCAAATTTGATGAAACCGGTTCCAGAATCGATTTCAAATTATTGCTTCTCGAATTGACCCGTGAAGGATTGAAACACGTAATTTTCAATCAATTTCATTTCATTCGTTTTAGTTGATTGATTGACATTGATAGATAAATATTTTCTTTCTTTTTTTTTGAACAAAATAATTATATAGTTTGGTGATTGGACACCGGGCGAAAAGGTCACATTCATGAGTAATTATACGAAAGCAATGACAGAAATTTATCGAGACACTTTAAAAAATAAGACATTGACCGTTGTAACAATTCTTGGTGAACCATATTGTATGGAAGCGGAAGATGATAATCGAACAGGAAATGATCGTTTTGAAGGCTATTGTGTAGATCTTATTAAAGAGATTGCTCAAATTCTTGAATTCAAATACGTTATTAAAGTTGTTGAAGATGGTGTATATGGAAAACGTAATGAACGAGGTGAATGGAATGGAATGATCAAAGAATTGATTGAAGGGGTAGGTTTTGATGTCTAGAAGATGTTACTTCCATTTAATTCTATTCGTTTATATAGAAAGCAGATATCGCTGTTGCCGATTTGACCATAACATATGAACGTGAAGCGGCCGTTGATTTTACTATGCCTTTCATGAGCTTAGGTATTGGAATACTTTACAAACGTCATAAAAAAGATCCACCAAAATTATTTTCATTCATGTCACCATTGGCCATGGATGTATGGGTCTATCTAATCACTTCATTTCTTGGCGTAACATTATTCTTATTTTTTGTCGCACGATTCTCTCCATACGAATGGGTTAATCCACATCCATGTGTGAAAGAACCTCACGAATTGAAAAATAATTTTTCAATGAAGAATACACTTTGGTTTACGATTGGTTGTCTAATGCAACAAGGATGTGACATAATGCCACGTTCATTATCGACCAGAGTATTGGCTGCAAGTTGGTGGTTTTTCATTCTAATTCTTGTTTCATCCTACACTGCTAATCTGGCTGCTTTTCTCACTGTCGAACGTATGGTTAATCCGATCGAATCGGCCGAAGATCTTTCCAAACAGACAAAAATTCCATATGGTTGCCTTAAATCGGGCTCTACTGAAGCTTTTTTTCGTAATTCGAATTTTTCCACTTATGCACGTATGTGGTCATTTATGGAATCATATAGACCAAGCGTGTTTGTTGAATCAAACAAAAAAGGTGTTGATCGTGTTGAAAAAGGTGATTATGCCTATCTGATGGAATCGACTAGTATTGAATATATTGTCGAACGTAAATGCGATCTGTATCAAGTTGGTTCATTGCTTGATTCCAAAGGATATGGTATTGCAACTCCTCCCGATTCTCAATATCGCTCGATTATTTCGGATGCCATTCTCAAACTACAAGAGGAAGGCAAATTACATATGCTCAAAAATCGTTGGTGGTCTGGTAAAGGCAAATGTGGTGGCAAAAAAGAAACACAAAAAGTATCCGGTTCAGCTAGTGAATTAGGCTTAGCTAATGTTGGTGGTGTGTTTGTTGTTTTAGCTGCCGGTTCTATCATAGCAATTATCATTTGTATTGGTGAATTCATCTGGAAAATGGAGAATATTCCACGTTCCGAAAGAGTATGTTTTGTAGATTTTTATACAAATTAATTTTTTAAATTTTTTTCTTACGAAATTCATAGGAACACATCTGTATTGAATTATTACGTGAAATTAAATACGTAATATGTTGCTATGGTAATACTAGACCTATTCGTAAAGTAAGCGATATGAATCCGGCAAGACATTTAATCATACAAGCTGGTAATGGATTGCCATTTTTGCCAATGAATAGTTATCAAGAAATGAATAATAAGAACAATTATTCATAAGATAATAATAATAATCAGTCATTTCTTTTTATTTGACTTGTGTGCTTACTTCTTTCTTTCTCCATCATCATTTTGATTTTCATTAACTTATATGTGAAATTTATATCATCATCATCATCATCATATTTTAAACATCACTTACGGAATACATCTCTTTTTAGTTCACATTCATTCTAGTCGAATATTATTATTGAGAATTGATCATTTTTCCTACTTTTTTTTCTGATGTCTGAAAAAAAAATTATATTCAAATGTGGAATCCACATTTGAACATTAATCCATATATGAAAAAGCCAATCACTGCTGTATTTTATATTGATCACAAACACATACACAAATCAACACAATCGTACACAGTTTAAGTTGATATTAATAAATTTCTTTATTTATTTCGCTACAATGAATTTCATTTTTTTTTCTTTGATAAATGAAAATTTTCATTCAAATCTCACTTGATCTTTGATTCATTTTTAAACGTAATAATTAAGTGAATTTAACATTTTGATAAATAGATTTTTTTTGTGTGCCAAAGAAAAAAAAACGGTTCAAATAGATTAAATTTTTTTTTGTTGGAAAACTACATGCCCAAAACATAGAAGAAAAAAAAGGAAAATCATTTTAATGAAAAATGATGACGATTATGAAATTCGTTTTATCATTATGACTAGCTATGAATCGGAATATGATATGCATTTATGAATGAGATCATTAGTCATTCATACATATTGGATAAAAATAGAAAGTTAAATGAATGTGTGCAATGAATGGATTCAATTATTTTTGAAAAATTTGTATGTAGCCAAAAATCCCAAAAGAATGGGTACTGAATTGGAAAGAAAATTTGTTGTCGGATTTGTTGTACCTTGTTTTAAAAATTGATCCATACGCCAATGTTCCGACCAACGATTGAGATTATTTTCATTACGTTGTTCAAAACTGATCATCTCTTCACGTTCACGTCGATCAAATCTTGGTTCAACTGTACGTGTTTCATCATTATCAATTCGTTCACAACTTTCACGTCGTCGATTTTGGTCATAACGGATACGATCGTTTGATCGTTCTCGGCTACGTCGGTCCATATTAATTCGATCATCAGATTCTGTTTCTCTTCGTCTATCACTTTCCATTCGTTCTCGACGACGATCTTGATCAACTTCATCAATTCGGCGATCATCTTCATCACGATATCGTCGTTGTTCACGAATTTCTTCTCGATCATCACTGAATCGATCAGATCGTTCAACATTCCGTTGATCAAATCGTTCTTCAAAACGTTCTCGACGGTCATCATATCGATCAGATCGTTCCGTAATCCGTTCATCAATTCGTTCTTCGAAACGTTCTCGGCGATCATCATATCGATCAGAACTTTCAATTCTTCGCTCATCAAATCGTTCTTCAAAACGTTCAAATCGATTTTCATCATCAAGATTCTGTCTTTTTAAAATGTCATCATCTTGTCGACGGATTGATGGCGAAAATTCATCAACATCAAATCGTTTATTATATTCAATCTGTCGTTGATCAGGAAAACGTTCAAACAACAAAACGTCGCTGACGGCGAACAAAAAATTAAAACTCGAAATAAAAACGAAAATTAAAGCCTATTTGAATGAAAGTTTTTTTAATTAAGAAGTTAAAATTTAGTGCTGAAAAAATTTACAAACCTTGCTTGTATTCTTCATTGAGATAATCGGTTTTCAATGGTAAGAAAACAATTCAAATGACAAATATTACACCAAAAATTAGATAATTTTGTTAATTTGTTAATAATATTTTTAAAAACTTTGCTGAAATTCTGCTGGTTTTTTTTCAGAATTTTGTTCAATGAGGCTATCACATAAAATTATCGGTTGCTTTTATACTCTGAAAAAATCTGATAATCAATCGTTACGAATATCGTCATTCAACAATGATCCAAACTCAAACTACCTGATGTAGCATCTAATTTCATCATTCGAATAAATAGCTTCCGAGTCACGTAAATCAATTGAACAAACAAACCAGATGAATTTTACATTTTTTTTTGTTGCAAATAAAATAACTAATGGATTAGTTTCTATTAAAGTGATTTTTTTTATTTTTTAACCACAACGAAAAAAAATTCATCATTACAAAAGAGATGAAACAAAAAAAACGGAACAAACATGAAAAAATGAAATCTCTTAAACAATGTTTACAAACATGTACAAAATCAATCAATGATCACAATGAATTTGTTGAGAAAAAAAATGTATCGCTGATGATTGATCGGTTAAAAAAATAGTTAGTGCAAACTAAACAGAATCATGAGGATGACGATCAAAGATGAGTAAATCCGTTACACCAATGAAACTATCACGTTGATTCAATTAAATGTCAACTAGTTGAATTTTTTGGACTATTAACGTTTGATCGCCAACAATGCATACGAAACAGATTGATCCTGTGTCCAGCTCCATTGGTAAGTAACTGGATTAAAAAACATTCCATGAATTTTGATTACATCGCAACCATCTTATTGAAAGAAAAAACAATTTGCTGTTAGAAATGTTTTTTTTTGTAATCAGTTTTCAAAGTGAAAAAAAACTTACAATCCTCTTTTAATATCAAACTTAATGCTGCCGGTGGAATAAATTTCGAATATTCATGTGTTCCTCGTGGTAACAAACCAAGAATATATTCGGAAATAAGAATTGCTCCAAAATATGATAACAATGTTTGATTGATTGTTGTGATTATAAGAAAACCACCAGGACGAATACAATTTATGGAACTTTGTAAAAAGGATTTGATATCATCTACATGTTCCAGAACTTCACTTGCAATGACAGCATCAAAAGAATTTTGATTTTCATCAATGTTACTGAATTCTTCGATTGTTGTTGATTGATAATTGATCATAGTTTCGGTTTCGGCAAATGAAATACGTGCATGATTCTTGGCAACAGCAATATTCTCTTTGACCGGATCAATACCGTAAATATTGGCACCTAAACGAGCTAGTGATTCGGCAAGTATTCCTCCACCACAACCTATATCCAACAATTTAGAATTTTTTAATGGAAATCGTGAACAACATGTTACCGGATCAAAATGATCATTTAGTCGTGAATGAATAGCATCAACAATAAACGGTACCCGTAATTGGTTAAGATTTCTTAATGCCAAAAGTTCATCACTTTTCCACCACTTTGGTGAAAATTTTCGAAATTTATCTAATTCGTAAATGTCAACACTTTTGAATGATGAAGAATGTTCATGGACTTTGTTTGTTGTGCTAATCATACGATTAGAATGTTTCAATATTGATTGATGTCGTCGGAACAATTGAAAATAAAATTGACGACGACAAAATGACATTATAATAGCCGTTTTCATGATGATTATTTTTTCTTAATGAAAAAATTCAATTCGAAATCAAAATATCACATACATATGTTTTGTTCGTAAATGTACACAAGCAGCTTAACCGTATTGTGTGTATTCATCGCTGTCGAAATAGATTCGAACAAATTTTTATGCAGACAATAATAATCGTTATGATGAGCTGTCTCTCCCTCTCTCTTTCTTTTTCGGCATAATTTATTGTGGATGATCGAATGTTTATTGAGGTTCCACGTGAAAAGAATCTAGCTATCAAATAACGAAAATCCGGTTCATCATAAAATATTTATTATTGAATCATCTCACAGAATTTGTGAATTTGATTCTCGGTACAATAAGATTTCGGCATCATATCCGATTAACAAGATTTTGCCGGCTAATATTAAGCTGATGATTCCGTATAGAAAAATGATACAATCACGAATTCTAAATCATCATTCCAAAATGTTTTGTAATATGATTCTTTTGTGTTTGGCAATAATTTGGTTAGTACCAATGATCAACGCGAATGTCGATGCCAAAAAGAAAGAAGTAATTATAAAAATCATTTTTTCAAACATTAAAATAAATTATTAATTTTGTTATATTTTAGTCGCATCATATGCCTTTAGACGAACGAACTGAAAAATTAATACAGATGTCATTTAAACGGCCAATGATACGTTTGAATCCGGAAAAATTCCGTACATTCATCGGCTCGAAGCAACATGGTCAACCGATTCGTAACTATACATTTGTCGTCATGATGACTGCATTATCACCCGGACGACAATGTTCGGTTTGTCGTTCTGCTGCCGATGAATTTTCCATTGTAGCCAATAGTTGGCGTTATTCATCTTTGTTCAATCCAAGCTTATTTTTCGGTTTTGTTGATTATGATGAAGGATCTGAAATTTTTCAACAATTAAAAATAAATTCCGCCCCTGTATTTTTGTTGTTTGGTGAACGACAAATGAAAGTAAATACATTATCAATCAAACATGCCGATCAGATGGACATTCAACGAATCGGTTTTTCTGCCGAAACCATTGCCAGATGGATTGCCGAAAAGACTTCTATTTCGATTCGTGTTGTTCGTCCACCCAATTACACTGCTTCATTCCTATTGGTTATATTTTTCAGTTTATTTTCCATCATTCTTTATGTACGCCGAAATAATCTCGATTTTCTTGGAAACAAAACATCATGGTCGGTAACCGCTTTGGCCATTGTTTTCGGTATGACTTCTGGTCAAATGTGGAGTCATATTCGTGGACCACCATTGATGCATCGTTCAGCAACCGGCATATTATACATACACAATGGAAGTGGTGGGCAATTTATCATTGAAACTTATATTATCTTTGTCATTAGTAAGTTGGTGATTTTGCAAAAGGAATCCAAATTGACTTTTAAATTTATTTATCAGATTGTGCGATTGCTGCTGGTTTCATATGTATTATTCATGCCGTGAAACAGAACGCTAAAATAGATCCAAAGAAAAAGAAAAGTTTGTATACCTAAAAAAAGTATTACTATTGTTTAAATTTAAACAAAATTTAATTTCATTACAGTCATGTTGATCGCCGGAGTGTCATTGATTGCAATATTTTTTTCATTCTTGATGTCGATTTTCCGTTGGAAAGCACATGGATATCCATATAGTTTCCTTTTCAAATGAAACTATTCGAATGGCAATTGTAAAATCCGAAATAACATCCATAAATAGAATCATCTTTTTTTCAGAAGTAAAAAAAGAATTGTCTTCAAAAAAAAACCAACCGAAACATTCTTACCAGTGTTTGAATGAATCAACATTCATTTTTTACAAAACAAACTGTAATTTTTTTTATTGAAATAAAAAAAAAAAATTTTGCCTATTCAATGTGTTGGAAAAAGAATTTATTCCTATGTCCTAGATTTTATTTATTCTCTATCAAAAGATGAAAAATTGATTTAAAAGAGAGAGAGAGAGCAAAAAAAATACCATTGCAAAGAATTTGATTCAAATGACGTCAGCAAAATATGAGGTATATAATAAACAACAAAACAAAACAAAACAAAAGAATCTAAATTATCATTATCATCACACTAAAGAATTTCGTTTATTGTTAGGCTGATGATATTCTTTATTACATGCATTAATTTTTCATTGTTTTTTTTGAACGAAAGTCAACATTATCTTATCATCATCATCATCATGTTTCGTTTTCTCACACCATATATCATCTCTATTTTTAATCCATTTTAAATTAATAATTTTTTTTCTTTTTTTGGTTCTATTAAACAATACTCTTTATATGTAGAACTATTCGAATGATGTTTATTATTTACGACAAAAACGAAAAAAAAAATTTATCTATGATTATGATGACATCATGATATTGATAAGAAAAAGAGAACGAGAGAGAGAATGCGCGCAAAAAGAATCCTATTGGAAAAAAAACGACCAACAAATAACAAAACAATAGAATTTCGAAAGTGTGTGTTTCTAAATTAAGTAAGTGTCTATTCTCAAGCACTATCTGTATGAAAATTGCTGTCATTAAAAATTTTCAAAAAAAAAAAATCATCATTATCATTAACAGAATTTAGAATGTTATGTAGACCGATTGATGTCATAAGATGTTAAATGAATGAGGGGATGAAATGTTTAATTGATGTTTTTGACTATGGACTGTATCCAAAAAAAAAGCAAAATAATTTATATATAGAGTATAATGATAAACGAAATCAGGCGGTTAAAATAATTACAAGTTAGAAGTTGGAAGAAGAAGAAGAATAGATTCGGACGTTGTAGATGCCAAGTTATTTGAAACTTCTCTTTTTTACTTTTGAACAAAACAAAAAGAATAGAAAAGATAGACATACATCATTCATGATTCAATAGTTTAAATCGTTTCATTAGTTTATAAGCCTTTTTTTCAAAAAAAAAACCTTATAAACTGTTGATTGATGATTGTGTGTGTGTAGAAGAAGAAGAATTTATTAAGCTAGTGCATTCTTCATTTTCTTCAACAACAATATATATTATCATATATCGTTTTTCAAGGATTGTTTATAGGAAAAAAAATTATTTGTATATATGATATATTCACTTGTTATCAACCAGATGGTTTTTTTTATTTAATTTAAAAAAGAAAAGAAAGAAGAAGAATATATATCATTGTCTTTTTTTCTTGATGTTAGTTTTGTTTTGCTTTCATTCATATTCGATTCGATTTGAATAATATTCATTTGATTCGATATTTGATTCATTTAAACAACTAAATAATTTTCAACAATTATTTCTTTTGTTGAATTCTGTGTTGATTAACTTTATATCGATTCTTTTGTAGGTGTTTGTTGAATTTGAAATCAATCAAATAAAAAAATGGTAAAATTTTTTGTGATGGGAAAAACATTATCACATTGAACAATTTATTTTATTTATTTATTGTTTTTTGTTTTTAGGCAGATGAAAAAATGGCCGAAAGAGAACGTAAAAGGCTTGAAATTCGTGAACGTTTGGAAGCACAGCTTAAAAGTTCACAAAAGAAAAAAGGTTTCATGACACCGGAACGTAAAAAACGACTTCGTGTAAGTTTTATTAGATAAAATTTTTCAAAATTCTAAAATTTGATAATACTTTTATCATCTTTTATTGATGAAAATTTTATCCAATTATGTAATTGTAGCAATTGCTTCGTCGTAAAGCAGCCGATGAAGTAAAACGACAACAAGAACAAAAAGAAAGAGAACGACAAAGAATAATCACTGAACGTACGGGCGAATTAAGACCTTTGCCAGATGACGGTTAGTTGATTGATTTTTTATTTAAACAAAGAAATCAATTAGTATGTTTTTTAAAAAATTTAAAGTTGATGAATTGACCGAAATTTGTAAGGAATTTCATAATCGAATTTACAAACTTAATGAAGAGAAATGGGATCTAGAATTGATTACTTGTGTTAAAGAATATGAAGTATGTATGATATTATAGTGTAAAATTGGAATTTATTTTATTGATGAATTTAATGATTTCAGATTGCCGATCTTCAATCACGTGTTAACGATATGAGAGGCAAATTGTAAGTTGTACAGGAAAATTTTTCCATTTATTTATTTAATTTTTTTGAACAATTTTTGTTAACTTATCAAAAACAAAAACAGCATTATACCGCCATTGAAAAAAGTATCAAAATATCAAACACAATTGGAAAAGATGCGACAATGGACATATAAATTGGCTAAAATGGATATGCGTGGTGCATTGAAATCGGTGAAAAAAGAAATCGAATTAGATGATAAGGTAAATGATTGATTTTTTTAAATGTAAATCTATCATTTTTTGCCTCCATTTTGTGTCATTATCAGCATAAAAAGACCGAGACCAAACCAGTATGGGTAGCTGAAACTAAAGCAGTTAAACAAACAGTCGAAACTGCCGATTCAGGCGATATGGATGATGATGAAGAAGAGTGAACAATGAAACAAAATGTTTGTTCACAATGATTATATTTATTCACTTATTATCATTCGTTTGTCTTTATTACTTAGCAAATAAAATGAATAAAATATATTGAAATTTAAAACTTTAAATCAATTCAAAATGAAACCATATTTTTAGTTCTGTTTTTTTTTGTTTGGTTGATTGTATTATTGATTATTTTATTAGAAGAATTCGTAAAATATTCTGCACAGGTTTATCAAACAAAAGATGTACCAAAAATGATAATATGGTTGTGATAAAAATATTGCATATTGTTTGTTGAAACTAAATAAAACAAAGTGTTGATAATTATCAAAAAAAAACATTAATGAAATTATTCGAAAAAACTTACCATAAACATATCATCAAAATCGATTGTATCTTTAGTTCGAAATGTTAGCCATATAGCGGGTATTAAATTTATCAGATAAATTTGTAATGATAAATTGTATAATGGACGAAGTGATGGAAAATTGAATAATTTTGACCAAAATTCTATATAGAATAAATTAATATTTAATTTTTTTTAAATCACTTTTCTACACATATGACGATACATATGGTTTATTACTTACCTCGTTTAGTGCAACATAAATAAAAAATCCACATAAATCCTGAACACCATAATAGTTTACCTATTGTTATGTTTAAATAGATTTCCAAATCTGATGCCGATGTTGTTAATAATTTAGCTAGATTAGATGGTGTCTTATGTAATGTATGTGTCCATTGAAATCCAACAATCGATAATGTTACAAAAACAATTGTTAAAATACATTCACCAATTTTTCCACCAAGATAGATTTTTGGATAATCAAGAATTAAATAACCTACAAGTATTCCGAATATAAATGCTGAAATATGATGTATAAATGGCCATGTATAATATATTGTATAAAGTGATTCATAAATAAATGAATCCATCTTTGACCATTGATTTGCATATGGACTTCCATAAAATATAAGATGACTGATACTAATTAAACATCCAACAATAATTGATATAATGAGAAAAAATATCGATATTATTGGACTTTTAAAACGGTATAATGGCAATAGAATCAATGGAGATAAAAGCATTAGATGAAAACAAGAATTTGCCCACCAAGTTGCCAAATTACACTATAAATTGAAAATATAAATTATTAATCAATTTTTGAATATTTTAAAAATCAACCTACGAAACTATGATTTTGTAAAAATTCCAAATCAATATCATAGAAATTATAACTTAGCATACTGGATATCAATTGATGACGACATGCATATACAAAATGTTGATCCATATGATGCCAGAATGGTCCATGATCCACTAATGGCAGAAGATAGTAGAGAAGAATTACACCGAAAATTGTTGGATAAAAGCGTAAATATATGTTGATGGCAAACTGTAAAAAATTAAATTTTCCTCCATTTTTTCTCAAGAATTTTAATGTCGTATATGTCAATAATAGTCCACTGAAAATAATAATAATTTTTTTATAATATTGAGTAGATATTTTATATGACAAATTTTACCTTAGAGCAAAGAAAAAATCTGTATTATGAAAATTTCGTAAAAATCCATATTGTTTTTCTCGTAATGTTTTCGATGCTAATCCAGTTAATAATTTTTTCTGTATTGCCATACCGGGCATCAATATACCAATATAATATGTATGCATAAATATTGTTTCAAATAGCATTAATAAACGTAAAAAATCGATTGAACCGAAATTATTTGGTTTCGAAATAAATAATGAACGTAAATTTGAAACAAATGAAAATGCAATAATAATACGTGAAATAATCGAATGTTTAGGTGAAGATTTTGTTGATATTATATTGTTTTCATTTTCATTATCAACGTTAACTGTTGTTTGTTGATTATTATCATTGTTATTGTTCTTCTTGTAGTTGTTGTTGTTGTTGATTTCATCACCATTTTTGGTTGTATTCACAGAATTATCGTTCGATGATGATCGTTTTAGTAAATATTCATAAATTGATGCCAAAATTGTTAACAAACAAAGGCCAGAATAGACATATCTAATTGTAAAATAATGATGAATTTAATATTTTAAATATAAAGTTCAATTTAAAAAAAAAAATTATCGAAAACATCTTACATGGCCATCCATTGAAAATTATCCAACACTATTGGTTTATCATATGAATCACATCGTGATTCCGGTCCAATTTCAATCGGTATCTTTGTGATTGGATACAGAATTGAATTCAGCGTTAATTGAATTTCATCCGCTGAACAAGTTGATGGTATACAAATTCCAATGTTTATTAAGGATCGATTAAAAAAATATAATGCATCGGAAATATCATCAGCCAAACTTATCGGTATATTGTAAGGTAATGAATGATCTAATGGAATTTTGACTTTTCCACGTGGATGCGGAACAATAGGACGTAAGAAACAATATTTACCACGAAATTGTTGCGAATTTATATTTTCCGAATATGGACTTTGTATTTCTAAACATTGATTATAATCACCGACACTAGATAGCGTACCTTCCAATAAACCGCTTGGAATTTTTCCCGCTGCATCCAAAACTGTTGAATATTTATCGACAGAGGGTGAAAAAAGAAACAAAAACGAAATAAAATCAGAAACAGAATGTGAATGTCGAATAAATCGTACATTTAAATGACCATAATTCATTTTTGTTCATTGCTTGACCAATCTTGACTAACGATGCCATACATTGTGGTGATAATTGCAATTCATAAGCCAGAAATGAAAATTGTCGCGACATTCGTTGTAATAATGGACTAAAACGACGACTAAAATTTCTTCCTAAATCAATCAATCTATGAGCAATATTAAATGTTTCATCAATATTTTCTGTCCAAACAGCTTTTTGAAAATCAAAATGGCGATCCACTTGATAATCGGAAGGAAAAATATCATCAATAATTTGATCAATTTGACAATCATCATCCAATTCATTATCAAAATTGTTTGATAATGTTGAATTTTTTCTATCAACATTAATCATTTTCATAAATGTATCATTGAAAAATGCCAAATCGAATGCATTATTAATCGATTTGGACCAGATAAAACGATTCGAATCAAAATCGGATGATAGAATTGATGATAATGTAGTCGATTGGTCATCATCAGCATAATCATTATTATTGATTTGAATTGTTGTTGATTGTGAATGAATTTCACAAACAATCACAAACAAAAATATTAAAGACAAAATTTTCAAACGATCAAACATTGCCATCATTTATCGGTATTGAACAAAATTGAAATGAATCCATTGTTTAAAAATTATGATGAATTTAATTTGATAATCAAAAAAAATTTTTTTTCTTTTTTTTATTCATATTTTGTATTTTGTTAATATTTTAGCTTTAAAAAAAAACAATGACAATGATGTTGATGATGACGACTATTGATGCGGTTTTGATTCGATTTTCTTTTCAATCTTTTCATCCAATATTTTAAAACAAAAAAAAAGTGAATGAAATATACAAATTGGTACTTGGAATCATCAACAACATTTTCTTTCGCTGATTTATCGATTGTTTTTCTTATGTCTTCTCAATTGTTGCCTATTGTTTTTTTTTCAATAGGTATTTTGTATTCCTGTGTACTTTCCATCATCTTGATGATTGGATTTAAATTCGTTCGAATGTTTATGTCTTGTCTGAAATTACCTCATATTTCTTGATGAAGAAAGGGGTAGTTTTGAATTTAAATTTACATTCAACATTGATGTTTAATGTTTTAAGAATTACCAACACACACTTGAAAATAATCATCTTGGAAACAAAAAAATAATCAATGCGGTTTGAAGCGGTTTTGTTTAAATCAAGTTTTTTTTTCCAAAATTCTCTCTTTCTTAAATTTCTTTTTTTTTGGCGAAGGTTACGTTCATGACTTTTATCATTATTATTATCAGAATAAATCTACGGGGAAAAAACGCAGCACAATTTCAGTTTTTTTTTTGTTTCTCTTGCCAATCAAAATCAAGTTTGTTGTTTTATGTCATGTTGTGAATACATTATTAATTTTGTCCATGATTTATTGTTTGGTTGTTTTCTTTCATTCATATTTTCATTTAAACCTTTTTTTTGGAAGAAAAGGTGTAATTTTTTTTAGGTAATAACGAAAAAATAGAAATTCTTCGATTCATATTATTCAATCATAAATAATCAGATTATTCAGAATTTAAACATTTTCATAAATGATTGACAAAAATTTATGCAACATTTTAAAAATTGTTTTGAAGATAAAGGTTTTTCCCCATCAAGATTTCCATTAATCAATATAAATCCATAATAATATTTTTGAAAAAAACAAATAATTCATAATAGTATTCAATGTTTAGGAAATAATAAACATCATCATGAAAATAAAATGAAATGAAAATTTAAACATCCTCTTCATTACAATTGTAATGTTTATATTTAAAAAAAAAATTAAACAATCCAATTCGATAACAATAAAAGAAAGAAAGAAAGAAAGACGGATGTCCATAACAAATTATTGAAGATTTTGTTTTTCATTATCATCGATTATTATGATCCATATTGACAATGTTTTTACTTTTGTTTTGTTTTTGTTTTTCTTCGTCTGAATCAACACGGATGCAACAAGTCGATATATTGTCAATATGTTTTTTTTCTACATAGTTTATTTCTCATTCATTCCCCATTGTTCAAGGTTAAACAAAATACATATTTTGTTTATCATTAACCTTATCAATGATCATGGATCGAAAATTTTGTTTTTTGATTGAACCATATCGATGAAAAAAAAACAAAATTTGTATAACGAAATAATCATTGAATTTTTTTTTCATCTAAAAAATATTGTCGTTTGGAATATCAAAAAGAATTTCAAATATTTCATATATCGTTTGATTTGATCTTTATTCAATATTCATTCGATTCTTTATCAATTAATGTCATGGTAATGATCAAAAATGTGCAAAAAAAATTTTCTCTAATTCATCTACGTTATTAAATGATTTGGAAAAATTTAATACTTTTTTTTTGGATTAAAATACAACCTAAAAATAGTATAAGTAGTACGATAAAATTGATATGAATAACCTTTATCATTTATGATGGAAAATCAATGGAATTTGATTGGCAAAAAAAATGAAATGAAATAAACAAGACAGTTGTAAAATTTACGTTCACTTTCAATCATTGATTGAATTCGACTGATAACATGGTGAATGATGAAAAAAAACAACATCCTGTTAAATATTCACTTTAACTCGTTCGTCAAATAAAGTATCCAATCACAACAATTTACACATATATTCAAACTGAGAACAAAAATATTTGTAACAATAAAAGAATGTCAATGAAAATATAAAAACTTTGGTTCACTGTTCTTTGCCAATGATTTTATCGAAATCACAATAACAATTTTGTAACACAAAATTAAGAATGAATTGGATTTTTCCACATATTTTTACAATAGTAATGGTCCGAAAAAATAAAATTGTTCATTCACTTGATGAATGTGATAATTTTAATTGAAAAAAAATAATCATCAATCCAAAGTCTATTTACACTTTGGAGCCATTGATGAGTACAACACCAAAAAATTTTTTTGTGCTTCTGTTTTTTGATCAATTGATTGTCAGACAATCAATCAATCAATCAAATGATCGATCATATCGTGTTAATCAGCTACCCCGAATCGATTATGATCATTCAAATGATTTTTTTGGTAAACTATTCGATCTATACGATGAAACGTTGCCATTGAAACGTTATTTATTCGTTTAATCAAATGTCTATAATCTTTGGTAACCATCATTCCTTGAAATTGTTCGTTCATATTTGGTTTAAATTTTTTGTTTTGTTTTTCAATTCGAATTCGTCCTTAATTTTTTTTCTCTCCATTCGATGACATTAGCATCATTAGAAGGCCAAAAAAGATATGCTTGATGAATTGGACGAAAGACAGAGTAATTGAAAAAAGATTTTTTAAAATCAAATAATTCATTTTTTATCCTTTTTCTTTTCAAATACCAATGTTTAAATAAAAAATTCCTATGATTGAATCTTGTGATCAATTTCCTAGTCACAGATATTATTTTATTACGGAAAAAAAATGGTCAATGAAATATTTTGATTGAAGCAAAGAACGTTTCGTAGAAAAAAAAATCATTTGATTTATTCATTTGTATTTTCGATCATAAGTTTAGAAAAATATTTGTTTCATTCAATAAAATGCATTTTATTGAATATAAAAAAAAGTACACACATGATGAGAGATGTGTATACGCATCTTTAATATATATTAAAAAATCAATAAAAACTTTTCAACGATTTTATCGATTGTCAATTAGGATTTTTTTTTTTTTTTTTTTTTTTTTTTTTTTTTTAATAATTTTTTTATTTTTTTTTTTTTAAAAAAA